TGTTGGTGACGAAAGAAAACAGTAATGTTGTGTGTGTGGGTGGCTAGTTAGGGGTAGAGCGATGGAAAAGTAAAGAGTGGTCGCCGATACTGGTGACAGATGGGGGTTACAGTGTGGGTGAGTGGTCAGGGCAGGGCCGAGGGGAGGGTATCAGGGGGTGACCACACCTAGACGTGGTAGTACAATAGAGGTTAGATGAGTAGTACTGCGGGTTGGGGGGTAGGAAGGAAGCCCGACCCAAGGTAACGGGGAAAGGAAATATAAAGAATAGGTTTGTGATTGGGTTTCCCATACTATATTTGAAATTTAAAATCACTATACTGAGTTAGATGTACTCATTCTCTATTACTCCAGATAAAGTAGGACTGAAGATTGGATCGGAGTTGTAGGTTTCCAAACCTAGAATATAAAAAAGATAAAGTAGGGTTTACTACTGATAGGACAGGATAATTATGTATTTGGTAGGAGTGTAAACCATATGCAAAAATAAAGGTTTATGTAATTCGTAATCTAGTATGTTAATGTATTTGCGGTTAAAAATTTCTATAAGAACTGAGTAATTAGTTGTAATACTTTATTTTAGATACGTAATCGATTTAAAATGATATACGAGTGTTATGTATACTAATCTATTTGAGACAATGCCGCAAAAAAAAAAAAAATAAATGGGACGTTACAATATATATATATATATTTACAAAATAATTACATACATAAAAATATCTCAAACATGTATATATATGTATATATTTACATATCACAGACATCCTCACTTTGCACATGCAATATTCTATTTTGGTAGGTGGAAAAAAGTACATAATTTAAAGTTAAATTAAACTATATTAATAGCAAAAATCGGATCACTAGAGGGCCCAAATGTTTTGGTGACTCTTCCAATTTGGTATTCTTTTAATTAAATATTTAATGTAAATATAATAATTAATTAAATATTTTTTGGGTATAAATTAATTACATTTTCGTGATATTTACATTTAGGAAATTATTAATTATTATAATAATTTATGATAATTATAACCTCGTGGGTTTAATTGTATTGATTACATTGATTAACCATTATAGCAATTATATATATTTATTAACAATTATATCAATTTTTTTTTTAAAAATTCAAATAAATTATGTTTTTTTAATTAAAAAATAGTTACACCGTTCAATTTATAAATTATTAAATAAATTAAATTGGTTAAAATTGTGAACAATATTTCGTGTAAGCACAATTGGACCAGGAAATTGGAATGATTTTAGCCACCCTTTATTAAAATTTTAATTCTCAGCCTGTTAATTTTTTATTTTTCTTATTTATCCATTAAAAAAAATGAACGGTCAAGATCATTTAATCAATCAATTTTGAGCCGTCCAGATATTCTACAGAGTAGGACCCACCTCAAAATCAGTGGTCTCGCGCTCCCACTCGATAATGTCCTTTCCAATTATTAAAAAAAAAAATAGTTTCATTTTTTTTAAATTTATCGGAATCACATTTATTAAATATTATTTAAAAAAAAATCTGAGAAATTGACTACGTAGAAAATCTACGTCATGGAAATATATTTATTACATTTTTAATATATTATTGAATTATATTTTTAAATATCAAATGAACGGTCAATTTTATTTTTTATTTATTGTATTATTAAATATGATTTTAGATTTATTCTCAATAAATCATGATTTACCAATGACTTAATTACCAAGATTAATATTATTTTTATTATTTAAAAAAATAAATTTTTTAAAATTGCAATAAATTTTTTTTTTTTTTAAATTTTCAAAGAAATATAGATTTGAATATTTAATATCACGATTTACTTAATTTCTTAATTACGTAATTAATCTTTCCTAATAAACTCCTTAGCTGCGTCTCTGTGTCCTGCTAATTTGACCATGTCTACGTGCGGGACGCCACGTGACGGAAGCGGTGAGCCACTGGATTAACGTCAGCCAATCAAAACCAGCCACGTCAGCAGGCGGCACTGATCTCTAAAGAGGTCGGAATTGCGTCCAGGTTCAACGAACCTGGTGATGTGCTGGTTAACTGGCCATTATTTAACGCTTAATCTCTCGTTGAAGTCTAAAGCGCAGGATACAGAGGAAAAACAGAGAGAAATTAACAGAGGAGAAGATAGTTTTTCTTTTTCTTTTTTGAAATTTTAATTTATTTTTTCGGTGTTTTGAAGAGGAATTTTGGTTTTACAATGGCCTTGGCTATTGCTTCTTCTTCCTCAACTGCGATTTCTGGGTCTGGTTTCCCTCCCTCTAGCTCTTCCTCTGAGCTCAAAGGTAATTATCTCTTTTTTTTTATAAAAATTTGTTTCGGTGAATCAGCACTTTGAAATGAAGTTTTTGTTGTGTTTTCTTTAGCTTCATATTTTGGGAGTTTAGGGGTGTTGATTTGAATTGGATCATTTTTGGGGTTAAAGTTTTGGCGTTGAGATTATTAAGCTAATCGATGTGTTTGGTGGTTTCTGCAGTTCATCAAATAGGGTCATTTAGGTTAGTAGATCGGCCTCATGTTGCTTCTTCGACGCTGAATTTGAGACGGAGCTCGGTGAAGCCATTGAATGCCGAGCCAAAAAGGAACGATTCCATGGTTCCTCTTGCAGCAACCATGGTTGCTCCTGGTAATTTGGTTTGATTCATTTTATTTTTTTAGTCAATACCGCATGCTACGGCTATGATCTCTGTATTATGTTATAATTCTCTTGTTCTTCCGGGAGAGAGGGGTTTCTGCTTTCTAATTATTCGATTAATTGTAATTAATGTTTTAAACTATTATGTTGGATTTTGCAGAGGTGGTAGAGAAAGTAGAGGTTGAGGACTTCGAGCAATTGGCGAAGGAGCTCGAGAATGCTTCTCCTCTAGAAATCATGGACAAAGCCCTCGAGAAATTCGGCAATGATATCGCCATAGCTTTCAGGTAGGGTTTGATAACCATTTGCTTTTTCGGTGATGAATACAGATCATTAGCATCTAATTTCCTTAAAACATTTGATTATTCTTATGTTTGTTTTATGTTTTTTTTTTTAATTTCTACAAATTGAATGTTAATGTGGAGTATATGAAAAATCGTTCTTTAATATTTTAGTGGAGAAAGTGGAAAATTTGCCATTTTTTGAGTAGAATCATTTGAATAGAACCTTTTTTGGTATGTTAAGGTTGAACAAATTTAGTGGGTTATTTTCTTATTTTAGACAAAGACATAATTAGGAATTGCTTTGTTAGTAAAGCGTTTTGTAACGACAATCTATGGAATTGCAGTGGTGCAGAAGATGTTGCGCTGATCGAGTATGCACTTTTAACCGGAAGGCCCTTCAGGGTGTTCAGCTTGGACACCGGAAGGCTAAACCCAGAAACATATAAATTCTTTGATTCCGTTGAGAAACAGTATGGCATTCACATCGAGTACATGTTTCCGGATGCTGTTGAAGTTCAGGCATTGGTGAGGAGCAAGGGTTTGTTCTCTTTCTACGAAGATGGGCACCAGGAGTGCTGCCGTGTGAGGAAGGTGAGGCCACTGAGGAGAGCCCTTAAGGGTTTGCGTGCTTGGATCACCGGACAAAGGAAAGACCAATCTCCAGGAACCCGATCCGAAGTTCCTATTGTTCAGGTGGATCCAGTTTTTGAGGGATTGGATGGTGGTGTTGGCAGCTTGGTGAAGTGGAATCCTGTGGCCAACGTTGCTGGTAGAGACGTTTGGAACTTTCTCCGGACCATGGATGTGCCTGTGAATTCCTTGCACTTCCAAGGATATGTATCGATTGGTTGTGAGCCGTGCACTAGGCCTGTGTTGCCTGGGCAGCACGAGAGGGAAGGAAGATGGTGGTGGGAAGATGCCAAGGCAAAGGAATGCGGCCTTCATAAAGGGAATTTGAAGGAGGAAAGTTCAAATGGAAATGGAAACGGGACAACCAACGGAAGTACCACGGTAGCTGATATTTTCAATAGCCAGAATTTGGTGACTTTGAGCAGGGCAGGAATAGAGAATTTGCTGAAATTGGAGAACAGAGCAGAACCGTGGCTTGTTGTGCTTTATGCACCATGGTGCCCCTTCTGCCAGGTAAACAATGCTTCAATTCAGAATCATTTAACCCTTACTATATGAGTTTTGATCAGATAGGATGCGAATGAAAATAAGTTATTAACTCTAACTGTGTCTTGTATGCGATTGGATCAGGCAATGGAAGCATCATACGTGGAGTTGGCTGACAAATTGGTGGGATCAGGAGTAAAGGTTGCAAAGTTCAGAGCAGATGGTGATCAGAAGGAATTTGCCAAGCAAGAACTACAACTTGGAAGTTTCCCCACAATACTACTGTTCCCTAAACACTCCCCTCGGCCAATCAAGTACCCTTCCGAGAAGAGGGACGTCGATTCCTTGATGTCCTTCATTAACGCTCTCCGGTGACAGAATCGAGAAAGAAAAAACGAAAAGAGATGAATGATGATTTCATCTCATTTTCATCAAGGAAGAAAGAATAAAGGGGTCCCCCTTTGCATTTTCATGAACGGAAATGAATTTAAAGGCAAAAAGCAAGATGGCGATATAGGAGTGGACCTGGACTGTACCTTAAGTTTCAGTTTTCTTTGTTATAGTTATAGTGATAGGCGCACCTTTGGGTGTTTTTGTATATCTTTTATACACTTGTTTTGTGCTAGTCTCTGGTTAGAAGGGTTTCTTTGTATTCTACAGTAGAAAAGGTCTGGTCCGTTTAGTAATGTGGAAAGTCTGAAACTTGATACCATTTATATCGTCTTCCGGTGTTTCTTTTGTTCATCTTTTTTCAAAGGGTAAATACAGAAATTGGGTTGGAATTTTATAAAACGAAGAAATCTACTTGGTAAGTCCCAAATCCAACAAGTTTTCTCAAAGTTCCTCCTACGGACTCTTGCTCTGGCCAAGGAAACCTCCATTGATCGAGTTCCAGCCTTGTCCAAAATCAGTTGTGCTGGAAAAATAAAACTAAATTAATTGATTGTCAGCCCATGGATTATCAGCTTTTCCATTCAACCTTTCGCCTACCACGTTAGTCGTTAACCTTTTGTTTTGATGGTGTTATTTTTAGGATGTTTCGTTTTAAAACTATCGATTCGATGATTTTCTACGGACTAATATTTTTATTCTAATTATACTCTCGTTGAATTTTATTAATTTCCATTTCATCCTTGAAAAAAACTCTCATGGAGACTCTATTTTCCCTCAGCAACCCGACTTGTTTCTCTTCTTCTCGATCTGCTTCTCTTCTTCTTTGTCTCCGTTTGAAATCATTTTCCCATTCTTTTCTTCAAATCATTTTTTTCCATTCGAATCTCATATGAAAGCACCAACTTTCGTTCGCGATTTGCTTATCTTTCTCTTTAGAGGCGAGTATCGGTCCAAAACTGAATCAGATCGAATTAAAAACAAAAGAGTTTTTTAAACTAAAGATTAGACAGATGATCTGTTAACTTTAATTTAAGTTGAATTTAATGAAAATTTTCAGTTTAATTAAAAAAAAATATAATTTTGAGATATAATATTTATGTATTAATATTTCAATTTTAATTAAAAAAAAATTAATCACCATATGTGTGTGTAGGCATATATATATATATATATATATAGAGTACATGACATGAAAGTA